AAATAAGATAAAATATGATAAAATATGTAATAAAATATAATATATTATTAGCAAAATAATTTATTATTATTTATTTATCAAAAACCAAAACCGAATTGATTTAAAATTGATTTATTGATAACCGAATTAATCGGTTTTTTGATAATTTCGGTTCGGTTTCGGTTCTCAAAATTAGGGAAAAAAATTTCGGTTATTTCAAAACTGGTTTCGGTTTTAACCGAAACCGGTTTTTGCCCACCTGTGCACAACCGCAACAATCCTAGACCTTGTTTGGCACCAAGAGCCAAGTCAACTAAACTAGAAATGAATTAAATTTCGGAATTTTTATAATTTTTTTATTTTTTTTTTTTATTTTTATGGAGATTGATACCGTAACCAAGGGGGCAAGGAAAGAACACGACCGAATATTCTTTGCTGTGGAAAAACTTTCTAGTACCATCTTTTCCTTCTTCTTTTTTTTTTTTTTTTTTTGTTTTCTTTTTATTTTGTTTACCTATCTTTTTCCCTTTTTTTTTATTTTGTTTACTTTATTTTTTATTTAATGTAAGCAATGTTTAGATTAATTCTAGGTTTTATAAAAATTTTGGTTAAATAAGACCTTTTTTTTATGTATTAAATTATTAAAATTCAAAAACAACATATTTACAACTTTTAAAAAGTTTAAAATTTTTGTAAAACAAAACGTTTAATCTAATTTCAACTTTTCTAATATTTCAATTATACTCTTTGCTTCGAAGCCCCTCTCCTTAAAATTATAAATATGCAAGCAAGAAAAAGTTAATCATAATGTATAATGGTGTATGAAAATGCTAGCAAAAAGTGAGCAAATTCAAATGAATAAAAATTTGGGAAGTCATGCACTAAAAAAGAAGAAACCCACTGAAGAGGGTAAGAGCTTACTTTTTTTTTCCTTCTTTTTTTTTTTTTTCTCTCTTTCTTGAACAAGACCAAACGGGAAAAACAAAAAATAGGATCCGTGGGATTTAAAACTACAACCCATAAGAGATGATCCCCATTAAACCAAAGGACTTGACCATTAAGATAAGGTCTGGGGACTGAGTCAGAGCTTACTTTATTCCAAGTGTTTAATGCACAAAATAGCTTAAATCAAGTTTATCAGTGGCACTATCCCTAAAGGCCTTGGAGTGAATTTTTTCATTTTTACTAATATGTTGGAACTTGGAAGAGTATACATATGCTTGTCAATGTGTCTATTAGATCTGTGGCCTTGCTTGAACCACATAGATAACTCCATCTTTTACCACTCCTTCAATGTCCTGGGGGGAACCATACAGGCTTTCTATAACTTTTCCAGCCTCTGCAATTTTTGAGAGCAGTGATGTCTGGAAAGCTCTGTCTACAATCAATCTGTCACCGGAGTAACCTAAAACCACTCTTTCTGCTTCATCCATTAGCACACTGTAATACATTCAAATACGTGTTAGATGAATTTCCTTTTCCTATGTAGGAAATGGATGGATAGAACGGATGTATGCATAACGTGGTGACATTATCAGACTTCACTTAGGATTAAACCTGTCATAAAGTCCAGCGCCAGCATATCCTTCGAGATCTTCACCATTTGAGTCTGAACGGAATATAACAGAGGGCCTGGAGTATAGCCCTATTTGCTTGCTTGGATAACAAGTGACCTGAAGGGATTGATCATAAGAAGTTCAGAAACATGCAAACTTAGCCACCAAATGGGAATGGAAGGAAGCTGCCTTACCGAGGGACATGCCACATTGTTCTTTTTGGCCGTGAAGCTCATAGCTCTTCCGGGATATGCACCCACCAAAGTCTCTCCTAAACCCTTCACTATCTGTTTTCACCCAAATAGATAATGGATGGCACAGCATTTAGCTAGGTAGATAAGGAAAAAGGAAAACAGAAGAGGAACCTAAGGCTTACCTCTGCATATATCTCAGAAGTGTCACCTGATATTGGATTTTTAGTGTGAATAACAAAAGCATAATCACCACAAATGATTTCTTGAATTAACACTGCCATGAGAAGGTTTTCATGATTCAAATTAGCTTTCCTGCAACTAAGGTATGCTCTTTCATTCCATTTTGAAGCCCAAACCTGCAAAAGAATGGTAAGAACAAGTGGTTGATTGGCTGTATGTTAATTGAGTCAGAGCTTCTGAAAATCCAATACCTTCTTTATTGCCTGCCAAGCACGATGCCACCTGTTCTCACCTTCATCACCAGGCCAGGGCATTCTTGCGCCTTTCATTTTGCTCCTAAGTTCATTGGTCTGCCACAGTTCAAAATTCTTAGGACTTAAGAGCATGAAAATAAAAACATATCATTGTGTAACTTGATCTAAAATTTCAGTTTTTTTATGACACAAATGTGGGTATTGTAGCAGAATAAGGATTCTTCATGTTTAGAGTCCTCAAGATAGGTAAATATTATTTACAATAAACTTGATAGCAGTTAAGATACTACCAAAGACAAGGGAGCAGTCATTTGAAGAATAGCTTCTTGTATTGCTTGAAGTTTTGACATGTCACCGCCCTTAACTAATTTCTGAAGAGAAGAAACCTTGTTTGCTATATCCTGATTAAAAATGGAACACAGAAAATGAGTATGAGAAAGTACAGCTCACTGATATCGAATTGCCATGGATAACGGGTCTTCCTGATTTTCTCCCCCCTTATAGTGCGGTTAGTTTACATTAACAGACAAGCATATGCCAACAAGACGTGCAGTACCTTCTGAGGCAAAGTAAATCTTACCTTATTAATGTCTTGTGCAAGAATGGCCTCAAAAGCTCCAAATGGTATTGCAACTGACATTGGAATCTTAATCCATGATGGCACCCTTCCTCTTAAGAATTTTATGTTACAAGATTTAGCACCCACCTGGATGAAAGGATAGTAAAAGAAGTGAAAACTTGGATGCAGTGGTCACAAGCAAGGAAACCAATCATTTATTCCATAAAAAAGCAATATTAATCGCTATGATCTTACTACTTCAGGAGTGAACTCCTCGACGGCAACAGCATATCTACCACAGAAATTTCTCTTTCTAAGGGTGGCTCTTTGAGGAATGATGGAAACAAAGGAATTAAGAGATAAATAGGAGTTGCTGACGTCACTGCAATTGAATAAAGAATAAGTGGCTTAGAATAGTGCAGACCGTAAAGACTTAGATGTTTATTGATCGAACAGTTATTTGGCATACCTAATCATCAAATTTGTGGAATTTAATCGTATTGATATGGCTCGTCCTTCCTTCAACTTGAGATTCCTAAGAGTATTCTGATCATAGCATGTGGCAAAGCAAATCTGCAGCAAATTACTCATTGTAAATAATGTGAATTGTTTTCCTCAAGCTAATTTGATTGGAACAGTTTGCATTCATACTTGCCTTGTTATTTCTAGCTCTAATAGACACGTGAGACAGAACATCTGGTGCATCAGAAGTCAAGACAGCTACAACGCCATCCGGAATCTCCTCTTCTCCAGATACTCTAGTTGCAATAACGACTGTTGGTCTCCGGAAAACTTTGTTCTGAACAGAAGCTAACTCATTAACGCAACTTACAGAACCACACACTTCCACGGGGCTGATAATCTGCCAACTGCCAGATTAGCCAATTATTTGAGAATGTATCTTTGGAAGATCAGAAAACCATCTCTTATTGACAAATCAATTATATCAAAAGGCAATAGTTTAAAGGCTGTCAACAACGTTGCTACTAGCAAACAACTGAATTCATTGGAAACTTACCTTCCTAAATTTGCCACTCTTCTAAGAGTGGGATCAAAGCGGTTACTGAGTGTGGAAAGAACCGCTGAGGATCCTGCCCTCATTAATTCTTCTGTGAAAGTATTGATCTGATGAAAGAAAAATAATTACAAAAACTAATTCATTGGCACAATAACTTCATAGATGATGCCAAGACTCAGGGAAGATATTTCCAGAGTTAATGATAACATACCACTGATTTTTCAATTCCGAGCAGATTGCCAAGATATTGTGCACTAGGCTGGATCTTGTTCTGGTAATTCTGGGACCTGTCTGAGAGTATTAGCTGTAAACGATCAAGAATAGCTTTTGTTTGTAGTGCCCAGGGAACATCATTGGGTTTGTATGATTCACATGCATGGTACCAGTCCTGCAAAAGTAGAAAAGAGAACCAACAAGAAGAGGGAACTACATTAAGAATTTCTATTGAAGGGAATAGAACTGTCAGCTGTAAGAGTTTACAATTGAAATCAAGCTCAGAAAATGCTATACCTTTGTACAGTAAATGATATTTTCATTGTTCACTGTTGACAGACATAAATTCTCAAGCACCAAGGAAATGAAGAACATAATTTCCTGATTTAGATCAAAATAAAAGAATAAATTCATTTGCTTCACAGTTAAATTTACAACTTGTTTGAGAATATAACAGAACATGCAGAGGAAGAATCATTTACTGGTGGGTATGAGAAGTTAAGATATTTAAGTCCCCTTTGGATGGTTATTCTAACAGCTGAAGCCAGAGCAAGATCAAGGAACAGCAGATCTTTTCCTCTTGCATTAGGTGTGAGCAGAAGAGGACGAAGCTCAATCCGAGAATCCAGTAACTTCTGCAATGCAAAAAAATACTTCCAAACATGTAAGATGTTCCACATGATAGATAGCATAAGTTCAAATATTTGTGAGGTATAAAGTACAACCTCCATAAGTGGGCCAATTTTCTCATCACCAACATGTGCTTTGACAAAGTTCAGGGATTCCTAATATATGACAGCAACAATTAAAAAGTTATTTTATATGTGTGGATGTAATTATAACTCCAGAAGAGAATTTGATGGATAAATTGACTTGAAATTTAAGGAAAAGATAGCTGCCTGCAGCTTAAGTGGCAAACTACCGCTGGCTGCTCCTGTAAAATTCTGACTCTGAACAGCAGTAAGAAAAGTGATGGAAACTCAGAAGTTGATCAGAAAGGAAAAAAGGGCAATATAACTCTGAAGAATTTTTTGTGTTGATTGTAGCAGTTACCTTGAAAGCAGAACCAATACAAGTTTCAATGGCAGATTCAAGGTCTGTACCTGAATGGACAGCCTATGGAATTTTGATACAAGCAATAAATACTTTTAGACGAAAAAATCTAGTATAGAAAATAAAACCAAAACAATATCAACAAGTAATTTTGATATGAGATGGTAAATTACATGATGTTATGTAGGGTCAGTTTGCAATGAGGTACTTATAGCAGGATTTATATACCTTCAATGTCTTCAAGTACATGGTAAGGTCATGGATGAGACCCTCTGTAGCATCCAGTCTAAAACAAGGCTCAGAAACAATTGGGCGATCATAACTTGCAAGCTTTTCTTTTGTGAGACCATTTGCATTTAATGTTCTCCAATAAACATCAATTTTAAAACCGCATCTTAGATAATTTAGTAGTGCCTGTAACAAAAGGAAAGAGCAAACCATAAAAAATTTAGCCGACCAAATGACTTCTGAACAAGTCAGCACTCTATTCAGTCGAGTTCATACCCTTGTGTAACAGAGGTTAATTAATCACATACCTCACAAATAATCACATCATCCGGGCTGCTATTATTATGCAACTTCTGGTGCCACTCCTCCATCATTCCACCATTGCAATCATTATTTCTCTGAAGGAAAAGTAAGGACATTAGTTAATTTAGTTTGCCAGGGACACTTAATGTTAGCTGTTTCTTTAAGAAACCAACTAATATACCTGAATCATTAGTATTTCATCACGAATTCTTTGCCCAGCATCAGCCTGACCTCCACGACCAACACATATCATTATTAGCCTCACAATTTCTCGGTCATTTGGCTGGTTGAGAAAAATTCTTTGAAGTAAATTGGTAAACCTATCTTGAGCATCACTTATTTCACTGCACATGTGACATAAATATGCACAGTTTAATTGATATACTAATTTGACATACAAAGAATGATTGACAAAAGCCCAAAAGGAAAGACAAGAACCCTGCAATCCTCTTAAAAACAAGATAACAACTCCACCAAAATTTACAGGAAAACAATGAGGAAGTTTAGCAACCTTAATGGAACCTAACCCTGAAATACCTTAGTAACAACTGAAAATGAAACCATAAAAGACTCTATCCAGGGACCAAACATATAAGAGTTCCAACTAAATTACATAGTGAGTAAGAAGAAAGTTCTACCGTGGTTTCACGTTATAGTTCTTGTTCCATGTAAGATGCCTGCAAGCCATGAACCTCATCCAGACAAATATACCAATAAGCCCCAATTCCCCTTCAAATTTACAACGCTCTGTCAACTCTGTTGCAACATTGAACCTGTGGTTGTTTAATCCAGTACATAAGCACGTGTATTATTGGAAAAAAGCATTATAAGAACACATTTTTTAATAGTCTGTTCTTTTCTATTCTGTCATCTGAACTTGGTTTCATATCCTCATCTTACCTGTGCATAAAGGACCTCTCAGCCTCCTTTTCTCTTTGAGCCATTTCATCAAGTAACCATTTCAAAATTCCCTTCTCATTTCCATCAACCTGCAAAATTTTTCAAGGTCACTAATAAAGACTAACAATATGCATTTAAACATATATGTGCTTGAATATCCATCTATCTGTGCGAAAACAAGTTGCCAGATTATAACATGCTGAAGTCAATAACAAGATCACAATAACCCATTTCGAGAAGAATGGAAAAGGATTACCTTCCCACATGGATTCATTGGTTTCAGGCCTATATAGAAGTTAGCTCCACTATGTTTTATCCAAGTACCATTGGACCAGATCACAAATTGGATGCCAATGAAATTCCTCTGCTGCAAATTAATATCCACAACCTTTGTTTTTTGGATGTTGATCAAAGCAAAGCATCAGTATACATGTACGATGTGAAAAAGAATAAGGCAAAGCGAAGCTCATCATGAAAGATTACTTTGCATAAAGTACCTGAAAGGATCCTTCTCCACCTAATACATCTGTAAAATAAGTCTGACACGCTCCAACAACCATTTTTGATTTTTCAGGCAACATATCTGATGGAGGGGCCTGCAATCAGTCCTTAGCACACTGAGTTCAAGCAATAATTCAACCATGCTGATAAGAGCAAGAAGGTTCTGATATCAGTTCATTTCTAGGAACTAAAGATCTTACCAACCATTCCCCAGGTGATGACTTTGACACTCCCCAGTGAAGAACTGTTGAACCTTTCATGTTAACAGTGACCAGTACGTGATAATCACCAGAAACAAATTTAGAAAGAACCTGTAAATCACAAAATAACCAAATAAATAAAGATGGTTTTGTGTTTCAGAACTGATTTTAAGTTTTTAACACAATTACTCATCCAACAAAAAGCAAAATTGTTATTACTAACCACTACTTCATAATTTCCAATAGAGTAACTTTGCCGTGAGACTACATTATTCCCTCCGATATATTTTTCCACAAGATTCATCAAAGTTGACGAAGATAGACTGGTGTTTTTTCCCTCAGAGTGCTTTTGCAACCACTTTAAAACATCATGTCTCCGACAATAAGAAGATGGTGCTCCACTTGTAGCAGTAGCAAGTCCCCCATCCTGAGTCATTGATTTTGTATTTACTTTCATATAAATGTTCTCTAACTCACCCAAAGATACTCCTTTTTTCAGTTGATTTTGCAGCTCTCTTAAAGCATCATTGTAATCTTGCTGAACCAATGCAAACACAACAACATATAAGTACCAGTTTATGAGGATTTCTGGCAACATATAGCCCAAAGGAATAATGTAGAGATGTATGATCCCATAAATGAGCATGATCACCTTTTGCTGTTCTGGTGAGCTTGAGGGCCTCCCCTTGCTTTCCCAAATGAGATATGCGTTGCGCTCTACAAGATGATTTGGTATAGGTTGAAGAAAAGCACCTGGATCATCGTTCTTAGGTATCTCAACATGGAAATTCCCATGGTTCAATTTCAACCTGGAAAGCATTGACACGTGGAATTTTGCAAAATGTATCAAAAGAGTGTAATACAGCAGCAAAGAGGGAAGAAGAAATGTTCCAAGGAAAAACCAACCATCTGTCACAGCTACCATCCTTCAAAACAAATTCGATAGCATGTATCTTAGGGTCCCGTAACTCAATATTGAGTACATACATCTGCCCACTCTGTAATTAACAATCAATTTCTGTTATGACCCAGAAAAGCAGAATCAAAATATAAGACCAAGCTTAAAACATGAAATAAACATATACCTTCACGAATGGTGTCTGCAATGCACCTTGCTGATAATATGGACCTTCAGTTGGGATGTACCAGTTCCTGTAGAAGGCTACAATCATCATAATACTGTTTGAATAAGTGAAAAAAAAAACGACCCACATCCATGAAACTGAATAGGAAAAAGGCATTCTGTAGTTTTGGCTTTACGGATTTCCATGGTAAATAAATCCCCAATGGAGAATCCAAGTCCTAGTGCAGTTTCTAAGCTGGAATTCAACTCTGACATTGCGCGCAGTCGAACATCCAGAGACGTTAGCCTACAACAATAGATAAAAAGAAAAAGCAACCGACTTTGGAGGACAAACAATAAAAGGTAGTGAATTTAACATAAAATGGTGAGGTTGATACCTGAAGTTGCATTCCATCAACAAGCTGAAAATGAAGAACTCGAGGTACCTGTGCACTGCTACTGTACTTTGTACTTGCCATGGGAGCTTTTCAAAGATGCAGTGACACCTGATGGATTTCAAAGGACCAAGTATGATACAAAAAACTCCTGTTGTAAGTAAGTGGTTTATAAAAATGGAATAGAATATTTTTAAAAGTGAGAATCTGATAATTGAAATTCAGTAAGAATATTGAACTGCCAACGCTCATATCTCTCCAAAATCCGACTTCCGTTAACAAATTAAAAGGCATAGTCCACATGAATGGAATTCAATTTTCTTGTAACTTTCCCAATGGCTTTTTTTTTTTTTTTTTAAACAAATTGTACCCAAAATTAATAAAATGAAAAACGAGAGTTAGATATAACGTGTTAAATTAGTGTGGACCACAGGGGAATCAGAATTCCGTGGGGTTGGGGTGGGGTGGGGGGATGAAAGAATCGTATGCCTGAAACTAGTGTTAAGGGTTTAAAGGAGCACCATTAAATTCTAAAAGCAAAAGCTGTGAAATTGATTCCCACTGCCTGAAATTGGTATTTTTGGAACGCGCGGATCCCCAGCTGTGATTGATACCAGCAGAAATTGCAGATAGAACAAGGGTACAAATTCCCAAAAATAATCTCAGAGAATGCGACCCCCGAACGAAAAATGACCAAATTCATTAAAAAAAGAAGAAGATAAGTTCAGTTTGAAATGGAAGCTGGGTCGGAACTCTTTCTAAAATTTTCATTTTTTGAACCTCAAGCTTACATTTGAACTTTATCTACAGTGCTGATGAGTATAACAATTTAAAACTAACAGTTGGTTTCAAACTACCATACTAAATTATTCATAAAAAGAATTTCACTACCTTCAAACCGTCATAATAAACTGTCCTCAAGAGGAATTGGAGCGCGAAAGCACAGTTCAATTACATCTCAACCCTCAATCATATCTCATGGATGGTACAACATAATGGGATATCAATCACTGACAGAAAAACCAATTCTAAATCCAGTTTGAGAAGATTGAACATACAAGTCATTACATGAATTCTTAGGAAAATTACAAAAATAAGTACAATACCTGCAGGTCCAAGTTCAGGCGGGTGCAACAATATATATAACTGAACATGATTTCATTTTTACGCTTGAATTTTCAACAAAGAAGAACAGAAGAATCATTAAATATATATGCCCAAGTCCAGTTCATCATCCCCCTCAACTACCATCCAACATGCTATTCATGGATATCTCATTGCGAGAGCAGCTTTGAGTCACATGCTACAATTTTCACCCGACCAATATTCTCCTGATTATCATCGTACTTAAACAAAGCATCCTGTAAGATGAAGGTCCAGACATTATCGCAGAACCTGTAGGTATGCAGATGTCCCTGTAGTACCCACAAGATTAATCAATACTAGCCGAGGTAGTTTCATAGTTCTATAGAAGGAAGTTTTTTTTTTTTTTAAAAAAAAGAAAGAAATATTTTTAGGGAGCCAAAAAGGATAGACTGCTGAATCTTAACTCCTGATGTACCAAAATGAAAAAAATTCAGTTACTCAAACTTCTTGATCAAGTTAAGCACATCCAGGAGAATATCAAGATCACAACCTTCTAAACTAACAAGTAACAACAGAAATTATACAAAAGCAACTATATGACATACTACTTTACAGGCACAGTTCTCCATAAAACTACAACTGTGAGACGCATATAGTGTTCACATAAAGTTTTTTACCTAGTTAAAAGCAGGAAAACATTCTAACTAACATTTATAGCCATTGACATCATGGAAACTATCTGAATTACAAAACAGCTGCAGCATTTTTGGTCAAAACCATATGCCCTTAAGGCTTTTGTTGCATTGCAAAAGCCCAGTACAGGTAGCCCAAAACAAGAAGAGGACCAATCATGGGCCGTATTGTCATGGCAAGAAACCTAGAAAAAGGCATTCTATTTTAGAAGCGGTTTCAGATCCAACAGAATTTTGCTTCAAACACACCCACATGATAAAAGATATTCTCTGGAATTATTATATTATATATATATTACATAATGGAATTTCTTGCAGCCCAATTTCGCGTTTATGGTTCTATGTTCTATCTCATTCCAAACAACTACCTCAGCACACTAAAACCTCATATTTATTATTTAGGCATGACTTATTGTGAGTCATATTCATTATATTAACTATTTTTCTCACCACAAAACTAGCACAAAAAACATTCGAGTCAGCAAAATCATACAAAATTGCAAAACTTTATATTATTGCAAGACAGCTCACAGGGAGACAAAGTCTAATACACCATCATACTAAGTCATTTTCTAGACATTTACGTATGACAACATGCATTATCTAAAGACAGAAACTAACATGGAGAGAGGGATAGGAATGTTCATAAATTAAGAAGGGGAATAAAAATTGGAATCTACAATTCCTCGTAGAACTCCAACTTTTCAAATGGTTCCTATGCTTTTACTTTGCAAGCCTAAACGCTATGAAGGATTAAAATCACGCAAAATTAAGTGCTAAACAAATGAATTCCAACAGGCGATCATATAATTTATTTATGACAGGTTAAAATAGAAGCATAACTATTTACAAAAAAAAAAAAAGGAAGAAGAAGAAGAAAATACCCTGAGGGTGACCTTGCTCTTCACTTGATTTTCCAGAGCTTCAGTCATAGACTAAAAAGAAGCAAAAAAAATCAAAAAAAAAAAAAAAAAAAAAAAAAAAAACACACACACACACACACACACACACAATTACGATCATAAATTAGAACAAGGAGCAAACAGTACCTTATCGAACTGGACAAGAACCTGGATAGCGAGTTCGGGGCTGAGGGTACCGTTTTGAACCATCTCGTCCAGGGTCTCCGTCAGGCACATGCCGATCGTCGACCTCCGGTACAGCTCAAACGTCGCCATAAGTCACCGATCTGCCATTACAATTCACCAGGTAAAATCGCAAATCTCGAAGCAAACAATACAGATTAAGGATTTTAAGAAACGAAAACGAAAACAGGTGAATTTCTAGCCGAATTGAAATAAAATTCATGGAATCGAAAAGATGAATTACGAATTGCAGGCGACGTTGAAGGCGGAGATGCCGGTGTTTGAAGGTGCGAGTTAACGTTTGCTTCCGAGGAATTTTTGGGCGGATGGAATTTGTGCCCTTTTATACCCTAGATTTTGGAGATCTCGGTATATATACGAGCAACACATTGGGGGGAGACTGAAATTACAATTCTAACCTCATCTGTTTTCATGGCCGAACAAAAAAATAGCCTCTTTCTTATCTTTTCTTTATGGACTGTGTAGCCCAAGCCCAGGCCCAGGACTCAGCCCCATTCTCCATTGACCATAACCAAGCTTCGGCCCTATAGATTTCAAAATAAAACGTCTTCTTGTATGGATCAACTAGTATTCAGTAGTTTATTGAGTCACTGATTAATCCAGATTAAGTAGAGCAAGACCTTACAAGTGGTAAAACTCTCCCTCATGAGTTTTAATGGAGCTGTATTTTCAGGATTTGAAACTAAGATTTTTAATTAATTTGGAAGAATCCCCTACTAACTCATTTAATTGCTCGTGGATAATAAAATGTCATTTTATAGATTAGATGATGGGTTATTTATTCACTTCTTATTCTCTCCTCTTCTTAAATCTTTCTCCGCGCATTCAATCTAGAATTTTAAAATTTTGAGATATGAGGGATCAAATTTAAAATAAAGAAAATAAAGAAAATAAAGCCATCGCCACCCGTACCACCGTTTACAACCCCCACCGCCGCCGTAGCGGCCATCTTCAGAAAAAAGTGGAAAATGTCTTGCGTTACTCCAATAAAGACGAATTTCTTAGCTTTCTTGGTTTCACTGAAAGAGAGATTCCGCTATGTCAAAGCCGCCTTACTCGGTCTGGTATGAACTCGAAACAACACTCATTTCTTCAGATTCGTATATTTAATATTCGCAAAAACCGGTTTCTGTTTTCAGGTGATGAAGGTGAAGGCGAAGAATGAGAGAGAAGCGACGGGAGCTGATCTGAGTTCGGAGAAGATGCAGGTTGAAGCAGCGGATGAAGATGAGAAGAAAAAGAACGAACTTTACCATTCTATGTAATCAGTAATAGAATTAATTTATACTTTTTTTCTTCTTCTTTTAGTTTACATATTCCCCTTCTAGACGAATATAGTCATACATGATTCCCTGTAAAGGGCTGCTGCACATTTTCTGTGTCAAGAAAATGGTATTTTCTCCCTGGACAAACAGAGCTCCGGCGATGTCCACGTTGAAGAGTCGGTAAAGTCCGTGAATCCCGTGCCGCGCTATGGTGTTGTCGTGGCCGATTACTCCGGTGGAAAACAGGGGAGGGTCGGCCGTCTGATTGTTGCACTGGACCTGCAACTCTGCTACGTATGCGGTGGCCAGAGCCAACCGGAGTTTATAGGTTTGAGTTCTGTCGACGTTATCAAGACTGAATTTGATTTGCCATGTCGTTCCTACGTATGTACTGTCGTCCTTCTTTCTGCGTCGCCGGAAAATGAAAATTCATTTTAGCTCCAAAATCTTGGAATTATAGTTGAATTGGTCTTACAGAATGAAAATCGAACCTGGGGACTTGAGCGAAGAACCAATCAGTTTTGTAATCACTGGTACCAACTCTGTAAACCAAATCTCCCTCAGGGTATAGTTCTGTGTATCTTTCCCACAAACCATATTGCCGGAATCTGTCCGGATGACCCACGTACAAGCTGTTGATGTACTTCTGGTCAGGATCAGGGATGTAGAATTCACCGGCTGAACGATCAGGGATGCCGATTTCCCACAATGTTGGACCATCTCTCAGAGGTTCATAAACAAGATTACCCAAGTCCATATCACATCCTGTTTAAATTTTGTTCAATTGAAATAAGTTTTTTTGTTTAATAGGGTTAGTGAAAAGGAAGAAAAGGGTACCTGGAGTAATGGTGATGAGAGAACTATTCCGGTAATCTCCGATGAAACCTGGAACCCAAGCGTAGAGATTATAGTCACCGGACCTTATATCGGAGATCAAGAAATAACCATCTGCATCTGTTTTGGTCCAGAATTGGTAGGCCTGATGTTAGAAATGAATAACAATGTTAAATTATTTTTACAGGAGAACAGACGAAAACAGGGGAAGTGAAAATTAAAAGAACCTTTGATTCTGTTTGCCATGAACCAACTTCTCCAGGTGAAGCCAACCCCACAAAAGCACCGTTTGCTGATATATAGTCATTGCTGAGATATCTAGACAAATTTAGTTTTTAAGATCAATCACAGTCTACTCTAATTCAGAAGAAATTGACGATGAACAGATCAGGTAGAAACAGGGTAAAGAGTCTACATGTCTCTGATTTGTATTCTGCCACTAATGCTTCCCCTTTGATCTGATTTTGGAAAATCCTCCAAGGCTGGAAAGCTGTATGGCCAGCTCTGAACTTCAACCATCATCTGAAATCCGGATTTTTATAACATGAGGGATGAGTATTCAAACATTTGTCATGACTAGAGAAATCAAAGAGAGCTTGGGTTTTTGTTTCTGTTTTCAACCTGTTCTTTTGCATCTTGCCATAGCCAATTTGGGTCGTTGTTATTATCCATTAAAGTGTTAAGATAATAGTAAACAGGGCCGAAGACTTTCTTCCATGGTTCTCCCTGTTTAAGCTTCAACACCATGTCTTCTCCGGCGTAATGGGCACTGAGAAACATCTAAACAAGGTCATAAGGTCATCAGTTTTTATTGTAGGAATTCATTTTCTTAAATCAAGATGAACTACTTACAGCAAGATTTGTCGGGCCAACGTGAGAAGTGAGGTTCTGCTTCATTGGTCCTCCAGACCGGAACTCATTGCTCGGTGTAATTTGCCAAAATCCAACAGGTGGATCGAAGCATATCCATCCATGAACATAAAGATCTTTGTTCTCAGCTGAGTACTGGTACTTGTCATCCACCTAAACAAAGGACGCCATAAAGTGTAATAAAAGTATATGGGGTAATTTTTATCATCTTCTTGTTTATAGTGTTTTGATTTTGTCCTTAACATTTTTAATTTCATCCCTTTTTTTTTGCTAAAATAATGATCAAGCAAGGAATAAAAAGAATGGTACGAAATTGGAACACACAGAAATTTAAGAGAATGGTAAAATTGACTCAAAGGATATAGCACTTTTCTTTTACATGTTTTGTTCAAGGGGGAGGATTCAAGCAACTCTTAAAGGCTTCTTTGCATTTTAAGAATACTTTTACTAAAGTAGAAGTTTATACAATTTCAAATTGTGGTATTTCTTTGAATGAAAATGCTTTTAAGCCAACCATGCATGCATACAAGATTATTTGTAATCTTAGGATTGCTCAGAGTTTGGTTAATGACTCTAACATTCTTTATTATGCATTTTCTTTTAGTGAGTTTAATAAGATTTTGAACCAAACTCAAGAAAATGCTTTTTTAATTGATATATTTATTATAAAATAATTTCATTATATTTTTATTTATTTAATTTATTCAATTATATTGTTAGTTTAATTTGGTTTCGACATTGAGTGATTTGCTCCTTTGCAAATGTTATTAGGTTATTATTAGTGGTACTTAAGTGGAAGGAAGGGACAAAAAAGATATACCTCCCCTTTGAACTCTGGCTCAACAGGATTAACAAGCAAGACAGCTTCAGGGTAAGCCAGCTCCTCACTTCTTTTAGGCGCCCGGTCGTCCGGCAGAGGCATGTGTCGTTGCCGGTTATCGGCCACCACCATGTATTGAAACCTAAACAAAGAAACATTTAGAGATTCATGTCCTCAAAATCATTGATTTCGTAACAGTTAATTTCTTTAGGGAAATGTAGGGTATGGCAATTTTTGTACTTGTCTTTCCTAAGCTTGAAAACGATCCTGGTCTGCGGGAGGTTAAATCCAGGCCATTCCTCCAAGTGCTCATAGACAGCATAGGAGTAGAAGCCGGAGGAGTTCCAGAGCATTATGAACCTGAAAAATCAACACCCTAAAAAATCATTCTTCTTTCAGAGAATTAAATGTGAAGTTGTGAACAACGCTAGAAACGTAAGTTTGAATCCTCCATTTTAGTGCAACCATGCAAACAATTCCAACGAGTCATGTCTGCCAAGTACCAACCTGGAGTTGGTTTACGGTGCATGTGAGATTAATCAGCCAAGGACGAAGGATTCAATACTAATGTCATAGGAAAAAAAAAATACCTCTTGTCTATGTTTAAGGGAACTCGCTTGCCTTCTAATGAGGAATCCCACATTCTTGTGAAAGAAACTTCTACTTGTTCCTCATTTTCTACTATGACTTGAAATTTTGTTCCTTTGATCCTGCATAATGTTACAAAAAAAAATAATTTGAAACAAACTAGATAGTGATGAAAATTTAGAAGGGCAGCATTTTATTTTGCATACACATAAGATGTTCCAGTTGTTCCAGGCATTCCTTCTTCACTCCAAACAAGATCCCAATACCTGTATATGCATTCCATGATCTTAATAACTAGTGAAATCATCTGTACATAATTTTCAATATAGATCTTTTCTGGAGAAGTTGAATTTACTTACCCTCTATCAGATTCTTTGTTACGAACTTCCAGCAAGTTGTCGATCCCCTGATATTGAATTCCAGTGACAGTTCCATCTGGTTTGGATATTGTAACTTGGACTATGCCATTGTCCATCACCACCTGTATATGACAAACATGAAGTTGAAGTCTGTTACATCACTCATTTTGGAGTTAAAGAAAATGATACACATCCAATACAAGTTAAAATTCCAATTACATGATTATCTTGGATATACAACTTCACCCCTTGGTTCAACATATCGAATTTGTTTCAATTGCCTCAATATGGTGAGGATTGTCCTGATTTTTAGAAGACTTAAAAACAATATTATCTTTTATAATCTGTTGCCTCTAGTAATTTGAGAGGTGTAGTGGTAAGTATAAATTTCATGGCTTACAAGGATCTATTTGCATTGCTTTACTTGTAGTGGAGATTAAGCCTTATCCTTTACTATTTTGTTATTCCATTCCTTACTCAATGGCCAAAATAGCATATCATAGAACCTGGAACTAAGAAGTAAGCTTAAGGCCTAATCTTAGTACTTACCATAAATGGCAATGGTAATCTTATGAAATGCGTGGTTGGTGGTTTGAAACTCTTTGAAGGGAAGAAAGATAAAAGCTGTAAGTGTCTCTGCTGTATTCATTATGAATGCGAGTGAACAGAGTAACTACCAAAAGGAACTCCATGAGTCTGGTTTCAATTTTAGGTGGTGTTTGGTATACTCTCCCAAGAAACATTTCTCTGTAGAAATTCGTAAGGATATTTTAATACTTACACACCTCAAAACTATAACAAATAAAAGGCAAAAGTGCTAAAACTATAATAAATAAAGGACAAAAGTGCATTCTTAGCGTTTACTTTTCTTAACACAATTCGTAACTTATAAACTTTTCTTCCCCTATGTGGAAGCACTAGTATTGTCCTAGTTGAATATATCCACCCTAGTACCAGCCAGAGTTTGATTTATTGGAGTTTGATATACTATTCTATTAGGTTCACATACGGGTATCTACATGTATATTTAGCTTATTCTCATCCTAGCGTCCCAATGTGGGACTTCCCACTCACGTTAACTTCCCAACAGGCCAACATTTTCATCATCATTTGGGTATTCTTTTTTCATCTTTGTTTATATGAGAATAAAAGGTGTTACTTTGACCCCTAAGGAAGGTAAATTGGGATGTCTTACTGTAACTTCTATTGAAAAATGAATGAGTTCATCCATTTCTGATGAGAAATATATAAAGACAGATGTTCGTATAGAAGCAGAACCAATTTGTACTAGTATATCTATTAAGAGACGGAATAAAATACCATACAATTGTACAAATCAACAGCTGTCTGTTGAAACTATGAAGGGGAGGAGGAGGGAGGGCATTCAAGCCTGATATAGTCATACATGATCCCTTGTAGAGGGTCAGTGTTTATAGCCTGTTTCAAAAAAATAGTATTTTCCCCTTCTGCAAGCAGAACATCCGGGACATCTACATTGTAAAGCCGGTAGAGACCATGAATTCCATGCCTTGCTATAGTGTTGTCATGCCCAATTTGCCCAGTTGTGAACAGAGGAGGATCTACTTCTGCATCGTTGATCCCAACCTTTTGCAATGTAACAAAAATAAACAAAGTGAATTCGTTATCTAGATGCTGGCCTAAGAAAAAAAAAAAGAACACTGGAAATTGGTAGATCATTTGTGTTTCTAACTTGTAATTCAGCCAAATGTGCAGTTGCCAGTGCCAATCTCAATTTATAAGTCCCACCATGATCTACAGTTTCAAGTTTGAACCTGATTTGCCACGTAGTTCCTTGGTAGGTACCATCATCTTTCTTCCTGAAATGCAGCAATCCAGTTCTTTAACAACATTTCCTTGTCAAATGCAAGACAGTTAAAATAGAAATTATTCATTTCCAGACCTCCTAACACATTCTGTGCCGTCAACATTACCCAAAGATATCAACAGCAAACAAATTATGTTAAGAGCTTAACCTGTTAACCTGAGCAAAGAACCAGTCTTTTGTGTAGTCACTAATTCCAACCGTGTAAACCAAGTCTTCATCAGGGTACAGGTCTGCATATCTTTCCCACAATCCATACTGCCTATACCTGCAGATAGAATAAGACAATATAATCTTATGATATTCATTTAAGATAACTCATGCCTACATAATGATGTAATAAGCATAGCTAATTAACCTGTCAGGATGGTTGACATAAAGTCCGTTGATGTACTTAGGGTCAGGATCAGGAATATAAAATTCTGCAGCTGAACGATCAGGGATGCCAATTTCCCACAAGGTAGCTCCATTTCTAGGAGGCTCAAATATCAGATCACCCATGTCAATCTCACATCCTGACTCATTTTCATTCAAGTGAAATATTTTCGTTAACAAGGTAAGTTCAGTCTTTCATTAATACAGTGCACTAATATTGATATGAATTTGAGAAATCAAGACCTTCACTAATGTTAATAGTAACATCATATCTGTAATCTCCTATGAAACCAGGCACCCAAGCATAAACGTTATATTCACCAGTCCTTATGTTATTGATTGAGAAGTAGCCTTCTTCATCTGCTTGGGTCCAAAACTGGTAACCCTGTTAAAAGAATTACATGCAATATGATAAGTATGGGAAGTAGTTCCATTTTCCTTTCTTCTTTTTTTTTTTTTTTTGCTTAATTTGTTTACAAAATAGATAATTTGGTCACCTTGCATTCTGTTTGCCAAGATCCAACCTCTCCCTGTGGTGCCAAGCCCACATAAGCACTATTTGCTGGTATGCATTTATCACTAACATACCTAGACGAGTAATTTCAATACGAAGGTCATCCATAGGTTACTAATATGACATAAATCACAATAGGATCAAAGCACCAGTCCTATAACTAATAACTTGACACATAGATATCATCACGATTTTGATATCTACAAGAAGTGAGATTGGAATATCATACGGAGACTGCTAACCTGTCCTGAACTTGTAGTCTGCCTCTAACGTTGCCCCGTTGATCAAACGAAGGGAAATCCTCAGATGCTGGAAAATTGTAGGGCCAGCTCTGGACTTCACTTAACATCTGAAAACCAACAAAATGTTAGCTCTTGTGAACTTGTAGTCCATTTGCAGTGTTTGTTACACAAGCAATACAGAATTAAAGCAGAGAATTTGTTGATTCTACCTGTTGCTTAGCATCCTCCCAGAGTAAAATCGGGTCGCCTTCATTCAGATACATGAAAACTGGGCCAAATACCTTTTTCCAGGGTTCTCCTGGTTTCAGCTTCAGCACTAAGTCCTCTCCCGCGTAGTGAGCACTAAGAAACATCTAAAATTTCACCATTTTGATCAGATTAAGGCCAGTGAAATAAATTGAATGCATTCGAGATAATAAGATCTTTGTAATATATATATTTATCAAGGCCCCTAGAGGATCACTTACAGCCAGAGCATAGGGCCCAACATGTGATGTTAGATTCTGTTTGACAGGTCCACCTGATCGGAACTCACTGCTTGGAGTGATTTGCCAGAACCCAACAGGAGGGTCAAGGCATATCCACCCATGGACCTGGAGATCTTTGTTCTCACAAGAATATTGATATTTGTCATCAACCTGCATAAATTTGGGATAATTGTATTATGAAACATTAGAATTATATGCTAAAGAATGTCATTTGATACATCTATATCTAACACCTCTCCTTTGAATTCTGGCTCAATAGGGTTGACAAGTAAGACTGCTTCTGGGGTAGCAAGTGGTTGGCCTCTATCAGGCAACCTGTCATCAGGAAGAGGCATGAATCTCTGCCTGTTGTCTGCTATTGCCATGTAGTGAAACCTGCGGGATAAATATATTACCACCGCCAATCTTTGTATCATATAATTAGGTCAACAAAGTCAATTCAGTCAATTTCTGAAACAATGAAGTAAAATTCTTTTACTTGTCTTTTCTAAGCTTGAAGACAATTCTGGTTTGGGGCAGATTAAAGGGAGGCCATTCCTGCAGGTGTTCAAAGATAGCATAGGAGTAGAATCCCGAAGAATTTCGAAGCATTACAAACCTGAAAAGATACCCATTGTTGCAAAATTACCATTGTTTACTTCCTCTTCCTTCCTTTTTTTTTTTTTTTTCTTCTTCTGATTTAAAATTGTCAGAATAATGAGCTTAAGCAAGGGAAAAACTTGCACCTTTTGTCTAAATTCAAAGGAACCACTGTTCCCTCTAGAGAAGAATCCCATGTTCTGGTGAATGATATCTCCACTTGATCCTCATTTTCCACTATAACGTTAAAACTGGTTCCTTTAAACCTTCATTAAAAAAAAAAAAAAAACTATTTAGGCTTCAAAAAAAATGTTAAAATTTCAAAATATTAAATGAAAGAGTTACTAACTCATCAAAAGTTCCTGTTGTTCCTGTACTTCCTGCTTCACTCCATACTAAATCCCAGTACCTGCAAATTATTTAATTGGAAACAGTGAAGAAAGGGAAAATGTTTATAAAAAAAAAAAAAAAAACACATAGAAGGAGCAAGGATTCCATTGTTATGTGTTATTCACCCCCTATGAACTAAGTCATCTTCTTCAACTTCAAGCAAGTTATCAATGCCATTGTACTGAATTCCTGTTACAATTCCATCGGGGCTTGATATTGTCACTTGGAGTATCCCATTTTCCATCACCACCTGCATGAGTAAATCTTTTCTCACCAATCTTTCTATCATAAATGATTAAATATTGGCAAAATAAAGTTATGCTTGATGAAGGCCAAAAAAAGAAAAATGTTATGTTGGTAAAACTGCCTTATATCATACTATAAAGCTGACATGAATAATCTGAGAAAACACTGTAAAGATTACATATTTGTCTTGAATATGCAATTGTACACCCTGAGACGACATAGTTTGGCTCTGCAATGTGGTATAACTTCTTCAATAGAATGGTGGACTTTCCTCATAAATCAGGTGAAAAAGAATAATGCCATGATCGTAACTTATACACTGTTTCCCTACTCCCTTTACAAATTCGATTGTGTCAGGTTGTTAAAACTTAGAAGACACAATCTGTTTCACCTAATTTTATTCTTCGACATAGAGACACGGCATTCTTTCTTGCTTTCCTTTTGTCCCTTAAGGATTTCTTTACTCTACAGCAATAAAAATACAGAGAAACAAGAAATTCTAAAACTGGTTTTCTTCAAGCACAAAGCATCTCATTTGGTTCAGAAATCACAAATGTAGAGAATCAGTGTTGTCAAAATCGCGTTTTGAATCGTAAACTCGTTTGAAATCTCGATTTTACTTTCACAAAGATTTAAGAAGAGGCTTCCAGAAATTTAAATTCAAACATAAATTTGATCTTCTTTGCCGCAGGGGAGGGAGAGATTGGACTGTTGTGGTGCACTGTTGCTGCTCACTGCCACTGCTAACTGCTCAGGCACTTGCTAGCAGGATATTGGTTGCTGTTGCTCACTGCTCAAGCAAAGAAGGAAAAAATCTGGTGTAAAGAAAAGAGTACATAAGGAGAAAGGGTGCTTGAATGGAGCAGAAATGATTGAAAAGAGGGAAAATGACAGCGGAGAAACCAAACAAGGCGAAAGGATGGAGGTGGGGTATTCTCTTAATGGTCGTTATGTTGACACGTCAATGGATTGGATGTTTGTTTTATATATGTTTGTTTTATATATAAATTTTAATTTCATATTTAATTTATTATTATTTATTTATTAAATTTAATAAACTTTTAATTTTATCTTTTTTTTTTGTTAAACAAATCATTAAAGAATGGGTTGAAAGCTATTTGAGTATTAATTGACCTGAAGGATCAGATGCATAATTTTAATTTTACCTACTCAAAATAATTTCGGGGAAAAACTCGATTTTGAGAATGTGGTAGAGATAGTTTGATGTCAAATTTATTCATATATGAACAGATTTCCTTTCAATTCACGGAACTTCCATTATTTGAAAACAATATAATTATTAAAATGCTATTGTTTTCTAGCTGGAATTAAGCTGGAGGGCCTTCTAAACGGATGTAGTCATACATGATCCCTTGGAAAGGGCTTTGATTTCTTGGTTGTGTTAGAAAAATGGTGTTATCCCCTTTCTGGAGCAGATTACTGGGAACATCCACACTGAACAGCCAGTAAATACCATGAATTCCATGTCTTGCAATTGCGTTATCCTTGCCAATTTTTCCACTGGTAAAGAGAGGAGGATTTGCCAAAAGATCATTAACCCGTACCTTTCAAGGAAGAAAAAGTTGATTGAAGTTAGCTTCAAAACTTAACATATGTTACTAAGAAAAAGGTTTCATGACGTTTCAAAATCTTAGTTAAATTTGATTGGATTAGTAAATGAAGTTCCCTGCCTGAAGTTCAGCAACATGTGCAGAAGCCAATGCCAAACGCAGTTTATATGTCCCGCTCAGATTTCCATGTTCTAGTTTGAACTTAATTTGCCATGTGGTTCCTTCATATGTGTTGTCAGGTTTCTTTCTGCACTTTTGACAGTTTGTATTGTTAGATATATATTTCAGAAGCTTTCTCCATGTGTTCGAATATACTCAAGGATATCTTGTGACAAAAGATCCAAGGAAAGATTAGACCTTGTAACCTGGGCAAAAAACCAATCTTTTTTATAGTCACTGGTGCCAACTGTGTAGACCAAATCTCCAGCAGGATATAACTCTGCATATCTTTCCCATAGTCCATACTGTCTAAATCTGCCAATATGGGAAAAACAAACCAGATTTCTAAACATTGCAAGGAATGGAGTAGGATGATTTCTGCTACTTTGATGTCAAGTTTTAAAAGATGGTGTTTTCTTTTAGAATTAAAAGGAGGACTAACCTGTCAGGATGATTAACATATAGTTTGTTGATGTACTTAGGAATTGGATCAGGAACATAGAATTCTCTGGCTGAACGGTCTGGGATCCCTATTTCCCATAATGTAGGGCCATATCTTGGAGGTTTATACACAATATCACCCATATGAATTTCATAGCCTGCAATTAATTAAATTTTAAAAGACATACAGAATTTGGAACTTGATCCTATGTCCATGTAACATAGTCTAAAGTGAGTGGAGAAAAGAGAACCTGGGGTTATGGTTGTGACTTTGTCATTTCTATAATCTCCAATGAAACCATGGACCCACGCATAGAGATTATAGTCGCCTAGCCGAACATTTCTAATGGAGAAATAGCCATCTGCATCAGCTCTTGTCCAGAATTGGTAACCCTGCCAAGAAGTAACATATATAATTGTTACTTAATCACAAGAAAAACCATATTCTTCTTGAATTAAGAAGGACATTATATCCTTTTGATCTCAAAGATGGTTAAACTGCAGCATATCTAGTATAAGAAATGTAAATTACCTTGACCTCTCTCTGCCAAGATCCAACATCTCCTGGGGGTGCCAAGCCCACATATGCACCATTTGCAGGAATGTTCTCACCAGAAACAAAACTAGATCAATTAAGGACGAAAAAATAAAATTAATAACTTGTGACCAAGTTCTTAAAGATTAATATGGGATTATAGTTCAATGATTGGAGTAAAGAGGTTGTTGTTACCTGTCTTTCACCAATAATCTGCCACTGATGGTACCCCGTTTATCAGACCGTGGAAAGTCTTCAGAAGCAGGGAAATTGTAGGGCCAGCTTTGAACTTCACTCATCAACTAAACAAAATATATTGCCTTAGAAACTTCAGATACTGAAGGTTCTCAAAAAAAGAAAAAAAGAAAAAAAAAAAGGAGTTATGGTTCTGTTTAATGCTGAACCTGTTTTTTAGCATCATTCCAGAGTAATGAAATTGGGTCACCTCCACTTGATGAAGAATTGAGGTAAATGAAAATGGGGCCAAAAACTTTCTTCCATGCCTCCTTAGGTCCAAATCTTATTATCAATTCTTCTCCTGCATAATGAACACCGTGCAACACCTTTTTTTTTTTTTTTGGGGGAAAATGAGAAGTTTACAGAAGTAAGATGACATGATCTCTTGAAGAGTACTACAATTAATTATAAATGTAAATGGAGGAAATTAAGAGAAAAAATTAGCTTACCGCAAGGGTGGTTGGACCCACATGTGAGGTAAGGTACTGTTTGACCGGACCAGCAGTTCTGAACTCATTGCTAGGTGTTATTTGCCAGAAACCAACTGGGGGTTCATTGCAAATCCATCCATGGACCATGTTATTTTCAGTTTCACAAGAGTATTGGTACTTGTCATCAACCTACATTAAGCACTGTGTTACCCAGACTCTTTATTTTACCTTAACAAATTAATTCTGGACACTTACACCTGGAGACAAGAAAAAAATTTAATTGAAGGAGAAGAATAAGAAGAAGAAATGTAACAATACCTCTCCTGTAAACTCTTTCTCCAATGGATCAACTAGAATAACTGCTTCTGGATAGGCCAGTTGTTGGCTTCTGTAAGGTAACCGGTCCTCCGGTCGAGGCATATATCTTTGCCTGTTATCTGCTACTGCCATGTAATGAAACCTGTGGCATTAATTCAAAATAGCCTCTTTTGAGGTAAATTTGGGAAGAAAGAGAATGCTGTAAACCAATGTATTATGGGTTCTTATCAAAAACAAGTTTGACAATGTTAAAAAAATGTGCTTACTTGTCTTTTCTAAGCTTGAAGGCAATCCTGGACCTGTCAAGGTTGAAAGCAGGCCATCCCTCCAGGTGCTCGTAAGTACCGTATGTGTAGAGCCCTGAGGAACCTCGCAGCATTACAAACCTGGAAAGTACATTCAGGGGATATCAACATTGCGTTATATCAACCATTTAGTCTTCGAAGGATAAACAAAGCACGAATATGTCTCGACTGTTAATGGGATATACAACAAGGCATGTAGCTCCATTTTCGAAAATAATATTAATTAGTAGTAGTAAAAGTGACACTTTTTCAATTCTATAAACCAAGTGAATATATATCATGGGAAATTTAATTAGGAAGCGCGTCATAAGGAAAATTGAGTAAAAATGAGGCCATGCATCTTTGAGAATTAATCAAGTACCTTTTGTCAATGTTCAAAGGGGCAACTTTGCCTTCAAGGGAAGGATCCCACATTCTAGTGAATGATATCTCCACCTGATTTTCATTTTCTACAATTACCTGAAACTTTTTTCCTTCTAGCCTGCATATATAGCAATCAGCAACAATTATGTCATAGGTTTTTTTTTTTTTTGGAGGGGGAGGGGGTCATCGTAGGTTTAAATCAATGGATAAAATTGTTTGAGCAAGTTCTTGCTTAAAACAACATAATTTCTTCATAAAATTAAAAAATTGTACATAAAAAAACCATAGTTTTGAGGAAGGAAAAACAAAAAAAAAAACTTGCCTTTCCATTTTCCCCTTTGTTCCTTTACTTCCTTTAACATTCCAGACAAGGTCCCAGTACCTTCGTTTTCAAACAAGAAAATAGTCAGATTTAATTACTTGAACGCTTTGCATTAACAAAAAAAGAAAAAAATTATGCTTGAAAATAAAGGAATAAAAAATAAAAGCCCATTTGGTTTGTCCTTGAATTGTGAAGAACTTTTCTTGCAAAAAATGGGGTTTTTTTTTTCCCCCATTTTTTCCAAGGACCAAAAGATAACATGAGAATAAGGATAAGGGTACCAAGAGTTTGTTTGTGCACTGAAATAGCAAAAAGTGTTGTGGAAACAAGAACACCAAGGACTCACGATCCAAACAGCATAAGAGTTTCTTGTTTCCTAATTTTTTATTATAAAATAACAATTATTGAATAAAAATAATTTTCTATATTAAATATTTATCTCTCATTTAATGTGATATTTTATAATATATAGAATTTAAATTACACATTTTTTTTTATAGAATAATGCACTAATAAACAGATATTGTCAGAGGAGATGGTACAGAACATCCAGTAAAAAATGAACAAAGAAAAAAAAAAAAACAGAGGCAAAGGCAGAGATCGAACTGTAATAAAAAAACAAAGGAACTATAAGTAGTAAATTACCCTCTATTTGGTTCTTCATTCTCAACTTCAAGCAAATTGTCTATGCCATTATATTGTATACCAGTAATATTTCCCTCTGGTTTTGATATTGTCACTTGCACCATCCCATTTCCAATCACCACCTGCAACACAAACAATTCCTCCATCCATTAACATTGCAGAACAGAGCCAGCACCAAAAAAATTCAGTACATCGAATATTTTACATATTTATCTTGCACGCTCAATTGCACCGGCGGTGATGGGGCTCTTGCAGAACTCCTGGAACGTTCTGTGCTCATTGCAAATCCCATTTCCCTCCCGTTTTCTAGGGCCGGCAGGCTGTTGAGTTCTGTAACTCAAAGGAAGAAGAAGCAGCAGAAAATATAGTCACAACTCACGAGCATGGTGTAACGACTCGTGAGAATCAAGTATCCTTTTAAAATAAGACAGAGAATTAATGTAGTTCCGTGAACTGTGGAAGAAGCTTTCTTGGCTTATTTTATTTTTTATTTTAGTGGTTGTCTCATTAGCTTTGTCCTCACCTGTATTTTTATTTTTTTGGCCTACCAAATAGTTCATGTGAAATTCTTTAATTCAATCAAAACAAGCACAAAGATATACCAAAGAAAGTAAATTGGGTTGCTAGTGTGCCAATGACAATATTACACCTAAATTACCTCTTCTTTTTTCTTTTCTTTTTTTTTTTTTCCATCTCATCTCTTTCTTTTCGTTTCTTTACTTTTCTACCAATCAATTTAATCCTTGGAGAAAGTTTAGGTAACATGGGTTTTTGATTTGTTTGCTGTCATCACAAAAAGATGGTTTAAAGAGCCTGTTGAGTGTTCAAATGCCTGCATTATTGGGTTAGAAAAGTTTGCTTATGTATGTAATTGGTTAAAGGGGTTCAAATTCCTTGAAGGTCATGCGCCCCTTCTAAAGAACCTTCTGGATCTTGTCCCTTGCATTTCTTTCAAAAATTTTCCTAAATGAGATTTGGAGAGATGATGTTTCCATTTAAAAGTAAGATATAATAATAAATAACTCTCTCGTAATTTTAATTTTTTATTCATAATATTTAAATAAATACTTCAATTAAATGACTAAAAATTTTATATAAAAATAAAAGTTAATTAGCAAATCCATGGAAGTCATATGTTAAAAAAAATGCAACCCATTATATTTTCTTCTAAATTAGTAACTAGAAGCAAAATAAAGATTAAAAAAATAAGATATTGGATAGAAAGCTTGAACGCTTTTCAACTGTATGCCATAAAAATTCTTACCTATATTATAAAATAAAAGAAAAAGTAGTAAAATAACAAACAAAAGTGAGAATTTTTTATTTCGACATGTACTCTTTCTGTACAAATTATATAAATTTGTAGGCTTATATATAGACTAAGGGACATGTGGGGATTACATTAGCTATTGAATAAAACTAAATGAGAGAATGAATGGCACCTTAGTGGAGCCATGAATGACATATTAATGGACCTTTTAATGGCTTTTAGTGGAATCATGAATGACCCTTTAATGGTGAGAAATGACCCCTTAATGATGAGGAGTTACAACATAGAAGAAGGTGAAGGTGAATGTGAAGTATTCACCAATAGAAAATTCACAATACTCCCTCTTGGATGCTCACTTTTTTATGTTACATGTTTTTAAATTGTCTCATTAAAAACCTTGTTAGGAAAAACACAGTGAGATAAAAAATACGGTGAACAAAAAAAGAGTGCAATATGTATAATATTGTCCCTTATTTCAACAAAGCTCTTTAAGGCGTCGCATGCCTATTTTGTGTATAAGTTGTTTAAAAACTTTGGTAGAAAATGATTTTGTGAAAAGATCTACAAGATTCTCATTTGAACTGATTTGCTGAACATTTATTTCACTAGTATTTTCAAGTTCATGCATTGAGAAAAACTTAGGAGAAATATGTTTGGTTTTATCTCCTTTGATGAATCCTTCCTTTATTTGTGCAATATATGCAATATTGTTCTCGTATAACAAAGTTGAATTTCCTGTAATTGCTTTAAGACCACATATTTCTTGAACATGTTAGATCAAAGATTTTAACTATACATATTTTCAACTTGCCTCATATAAGACAATCAATTCTAAGTGATTTGAGGAGTTACAACATAGAAGAAGGTAAATGTGAAAGTGAGGCATTTACCAATAGAAAAATTTACAATAACTCAGACATTATTGACAGTTCAATCTTTATCCTTAACTAATTTGATCAATGATGAAACTTGCTGTACTGCACTCTGGCTGATCAGTTATGCTTCATGTGCTTAGAATTTTTTGAGAAAAGAAAAATTTTCCTTGGTATATATTTAACTTGAAGAAATATTCTTCCATACATAATTGTAAATTCAGCATGGAACGTAAGATCTCATCCGAATTAAATTGGATTAAAAATTATTTTTATTATCATTTACTTCACATAAACGTGCTCTTTCTTTTATTACAGTGCATGCAATTAAGGATAGACTCTAATTTGTGGCTAATTATTGATAAAATATTTTATTCTTAATTAGAAACAATTGAGAGAAATCAAGCTTCTTTTTAAGTCGTGTAATTTCATCTCATCCCCATCCCCATCTTTTTTTTTTTTTTTAATATCATTATATTGTGACAGGCATCTAAAATATTACATTTGTCCCCAAATAATAGACTCTTTTTTATTTACTACTTATTCCAAACTAATAGTTATTTTTTAATACTTTAAAGAAGACAAATATTTCTTTGATCTCA